TATTGTTTGTTTTCGATTAAATTTTTTATTTTTCATTTTTTTCTTAAAAAATAAATAAAAATTGTTTGTTTATATTATTTTAATTTTTTTTTCTTTACTTTTTTGAAAACCGTTTTTAAAACAAAAAATTTCATCAAACCATAAATAGTGATTTACATTATTGTGTTTTTTTTATTTTTAATTATATATTTCTCATTTTTTTCATTTTTATAAGATTTATCCTCAAAAATTTATTATTATTATAATTATAATTATATTATTATTTTCTCTATCTATATAAATATATTGTCGTTTATTTATCCAAAATATCCAAGTAGATAATTTTATCTTTATTAAAATTCTCTGTTTTTTTTCTATCTCTTCTCTTTTTAGTATTATTTTTATATTTTATTGTTATTTTCTCTATCTATTTAAATCTAATGTCATTTAGTATTATTTACTTATTATAATACTTCGATATTACATTTTTATTCAATTGATTGTATATACTAATCAATAGTTACTATAACTTTGAAATTTAAAAATTAAAGTGTGAAATAATTTTAATTATTTTGTCTCAAATTTTGATTTTTAAAATTTTTATTATTAACTAAACTCTTTATGGCTTAATAAGGGAGAAATTCAATAATTGGAAGAGTTTTTCATATCATGAACCAAAAGAAAAGAGAAAAAATTTAAAAAAAAAAAGAATTTTGAAAAAATAAGTAATCAAAAACTAAAAACTCCTCCATATTTTTAATAAATAAAAATTAAAAAATAAACAACTATAACAAACAAGGCCTAAATTAATTAACAAAGCTGAAGACAATAGTTCTATGAACATGTTTCTGGAATCTATATATGAGCCATTAATATAACTAGTAAGATCACTTAGCAAGGGAAATAACATGTTAGAAATTTTATTTCTAATGGGCTTATTAATTCTATATTTTTTGCTTTTTTTATTTCTAATGGGCTTATTTAATTCTATATTTTTGCTTTAAACAAAATATTTTGGTTTTTAATTCTATATTTTTTGCTTTACAAAATATTTGGTTTAAGTTTAATAGTTCAAAAAGTCTGATTTTAAACACATTATTATAAAGAGTGATCATTAAAAGAATTAATGGGCGAGTTAAATGTGTTTGGTTTTAGTGTGGTTAAATTCTAATCTAGGTTATGATCGTACATCCTATTAGGGTTATTATGGGAGAACCTAATAGTTTACTATATATAAGTTATGTCCTCTCTTTTTAGTCTATGTTTTGTTATGATAATACATTATTTTCCACCCATTGAGAGCTCGTAGACATAGAGATGATGCACCTAGTCATTCCATGGATAATTATGCGTGGTTGTTTTAATTTCTTTTTACTTATTGTTATGGATCAAGATTGCATTGATAGAAGCTAACAAAACAACTTGTAAGTTATATTATTATGGCTTTTATTATAATACGGAATTCAAAAAATTCGGCATAAATAGAGAAACTCTATTTGCATGCCATTTGGACATGCTAACATGCTAGGCAGATCATATGGTTATATATTGTTTTTCTTTTTTTTAAGCTTTTAGAAAATCTTTTTTCCTCCTAAAATGCAATCATACTAAATTAATACGAGATATTTCTATTGATTTAGTGAAAGTGAGTGATTAAAACATGATTTTTATATAAATAGTAGGGTATTTGAAATTATTTTAAACACAAAGTTTTCATTTTCGGCGTTCCATTTATACAGATAAATTTTACTTAATTTTGATAATGGCCAAAGTGAAAAGTCTAAATTACCATTGATTTACCCTGTTTAGAGTACTCACTTTTTAGAAAAATAAGAAAGTGGCCGACAATGTTTAAATATTGCATTAAATATAATTGACTAATCAATTCATAGCTCTATTATCTTTCTCTCGCCATTTAAAGCAAAATTACATGCAATAAGTCAAAAACTTGAGGGTATTTTCCTAGATTAGACCAACTACAAACAAGCAGAGTTTAAAGTTAGCCTTTCAAAATGTAAATGAGGTCAAGCAAGCTCAAGTTCAAGCATGTCAGAGTTTCACAAGATTCAACTCATTTACAGCCCTAGTAAGATTCAACTCATTTACAACCCTAGCTTAACTTAATCAATTTTAAATTCCAATTTTTTTTTGAAAGGATTTTAAATTCCAATTGATCAAAGAAATCTCTTATCTTGAGCTATAAGATCGCCTACCGACATCACCCTAGAGTACTACCGATCAAGCATAAATAATAAATAAACAAATAATAAATGTACCATTAAAATAAAAAAAATACAAAAAAAAAATACAACTTGATCAAACTAATCTAGTTCGATTTTTTAAGATTTTTGATAATCTCAGTTTCAATTATACTAAAAAATGGTTTTTTTTTTTTTTTCCCAAACTGAATGGAACCAGAAACACACTGATCTAAACAACCAATATCGTAAGCTGATCCTGTTCAATTCCAAAGTTCAGTTTAAGAAAAAATGTCAATTCCAAAGTTCAGTTTAAGAAAAAATGAAAATTAAATTTATAGTTTTTGCAGTTTGGTTCGGAACAGAACTGCTTGATTCCACAGCGCCCTAAATAATTGCACTGAAAATAATAGTAAGAACAAATCTATGTCCAACCGTTCCATCTTTCAACATAGGTTTTTTATCAACCAGAATAAAAGCTAATTACATAAAAAAAAAATTAAAAATAAAAAAAGATGTGCCTTTTCATTTCATTGGCAGCAGGGTGATGCAGTCCTCGAGTGAGGTATTGTACAAAGTCGTACGGAGCAAAGATACTGCTGATCAACCTTTGTTGCAGTATCTCAGTACAAATTATCTCAGTATCTCAGTTCAGATATAGCTGAAATTTTATTGCAACAGGAATGTGCCCAGAAATATCTCATTACTCCACTGATAAACCAAAGGCTTGAACAAAGCCCATTTTATCTGCAAGTACAAATTATGGGCTTAAACAGAATTGAAACGTATTACTTCATTCATTCCATAATTTTTGTCCTACTCAGTTGGTACATAAATTTCATTCATTCCATAATTTTTGTCCTACTCTCTTTTTTCATTTGTCCCAAATTATAATCCTATTTTCTTTTTTTAGAAAAAAGAGAACTTTTTAAGTTTCTCATCAAGTTTCCAATTAACTTTGATTGTCTTAATTCTAGAATTAAAAAAAATTAAATTTTGAATAGTTTCAGTTTCAAGCATAATTTGGCTTATTTTTACCTGTTGTTGTTCCCCTTTCTTCTGCCATTCGTAAACTTCAATTCATCTCTTAGAAATTGACAATCTTTTATAAGTGTAACAGTAAAACGACTTTTTCGATTTAATTCAATTCCGGCTATCGGAATGTCGACTAGACGCCGTATTGGCTTAAAAAATGATTAAAATTTTTTTACATCTCAACAACAACACTCTCTTCGACTTCAGCAAAAATAACTTTCTTTCCTCCTTTTCTTTCTCCTTCATCTTTTGTCTTCTCTCCCAGTTTGCAACTTCAACATTTTCATCCCCTCACAACCAATCAAAACACAATTAATAAAATAAAAAAAATCCAATTAACCAACCACCACCAATACCACCCTCCAATCTAACCATTATCATCAAACCCCCCCCCCCCCCCCCCCAAACCCCCACCCCCCCCTCCCCAAAAAAAAAAAAAAAAAACCTAAAAAACATGCATTGATCCGTATAATCAGTTAGTACATAAATAAAGCAAATACCTTTTGATGAAAAATCTCCAAGCATCAATTTATAGATGTACACTTAATCTTCTAATTTTTGGCTCTCTGGCTTTTTATATCTGGTAAACATGGGAGAAATGGGTTGGATTGGTATGTTCTTTAGGGTTTTTTCGAAGGTGATTAAGATATTTGGAGAAATAGAACACAATGGTGACAGGCTCTAAAGGAGGGAATCAAGAGACCTGTTGATATTGTTCCAACAATGAAGGAAAAACGACAATGGAGATGAAAAGGTTGGTGAGAATGCAATCAGATTTTCAAAAGCACCTTATTCTTTGCCGTCATTAGCAATTTATAGAGTTTTGGAACAATCAACGTCTCATTTTCCAATTGAATCCTTTCCGCTTCTTCTAGAAAATTCCTTAACCGATCAATAGCACGCAAAAACAAGACAAGTTCAGATTTGGGTTTGTTTTGCAAAAACAAGCATTTGAGCTACAGATACAGAACCAGAGTCACAGATGAACACCATCTGACCAGAGTCAGCAGATGAAAACAACCATCTGAAAGATTTGAGGACTAAGATTTAACTTGGAAAATGTAGAGAGAGATTGGGACGAGAAAACATAAACACAGTATGTTATTTTTACAAATTTGGGTTTCCGCAGTCCGTTGAATTTGGGGAATAAAATGTGGTATCCTCGTTTGAGAAAATTTTAAGGATGGATTTATTCTTTTGCAATTGTTATGCTTTTTATTTCTTGGTGTGTTTGATTCTCTTGTTTTCTTCAGAGGTGGTGAGCTATGGTTACTATTAGTGGAGGTTGGAGGAGAGGAGAAAAGCCAAAGATGAAATTGGGAGAGAGAGGTTTGTGCTCGGTGGAGAGAAAGAACAGACTTGTGAGCTGATAAAATTTTAACATCAATTTTAAGCTAGCATGGCGTCAACGGCATTCCAGCAGCCAGAGTTTTGATTTAAATCGACAAATCAATTTTGCTGTGACACCTATAAAGAATTAGTTAAACTTAAAGGGAATGAACGAATAGGGAACGACAAAGAAGAAAAAAGGGTTGAAATTCAAGGACAGCCAAGGTAAACTTAAGCCAAAACAATTTAGTAACGAGTCATTTAAAATTATAATAGAATGACATGTATTATCGTCACTAAGTAATATTAGGAAAAAAAAAAAACTAAGAAAAATTATAGTTTTAACCATATTAAACTAATATATTAATTGTTAATACAGGTAAAGTCACCATATCCCTTACATATTAATTAGACCAAAATAAGTAATAAGGGATTAAAACACGTCCAAGCCCACATCCCTTACATATTAGCATGGCTAGGGTGTGCTACACCAACGGCACATGTCTCCAACAATGTAAGAAGCCTAGATGTGCCTTCAAGTTCCACGCAACACTTGTTATATGCCACATCATGAAGCTCTTGTGAAATTTGGTCAACATATAAGGACATGGCTGCCCCATATCGCTTGGCATGGCTCCTTGTAATTGTCCCACTAGGAAGCACCAATGGATCCGTATCATTAGGATACGAAAGTTTCAAATCTAGAAAATAATTCATCATATGAAAGAACTCAAGAATGAATATCGAGTATAATAGATGCTGAAGTATCTCTTGACACTTACTTTCCATGATGGTTTTAAAGGCTTCCTACAAACAGATTATACCAATTACCACAACAATTAGAGATAATGGTGGGAAGTATTCATATCAGGAAAACCACGTAAAAATGTGAATGATATAAATAACTAATATAAATACTGTACATAATTCTGCCAAAATTAATGATAATGAATCAGCAGGCAAAGAAACCAATGAATTATTTTTAATGTGTTGTTGAGATTTGAAAAATTTTGTGAGATACTCATTAGCTATTTGACAAATTTTGGAGGAAATTTTAATTTCATATTAGTTTATTTTATACTTATCCTACAAGTAAGATTAAGATAGGCAGCAAGCATGTATTGCTTGTAAGCTTGGAAAGTTAAGCATTAGAATGGTTAAAATTAACTTATGGTTAAACTTATGGTTGAGGTATGGCACTGTCTTAAGGCCATCCACTTTGCAACATATTCTATGTAGACTCCTCAAATATACAAGAGTTGCCTGCAATGAATGAAATCTGCCCATAATTGGAGGTTTCATTTTACCAGAACCTGTAATTTGAGCGTGTATTTCATGTTGTCAACCTCTGCCATTTATAACATAATATCAAAAAAGGAAAGAAAGAAGCCCGACTAAATCGCACAATTCCCATTCAGGTTTTACAGCGTTGGTTTGTCCCTTGAAAGGTATTTGATTAGTGTTTACCAGAAATAATAATTTAACAAAAAAAAAAAAAAGAAAGAAAAAAAAAAGGAAGATTGTAACGCAACATGCAACATGTTATGTCATAAGGATCACCTCATCTTTGGTTAGCCTGGGATTGTACAGCATTTCCTCTCCAACAGTACTAACCTGTGCGTCACACAAAGGTTAGCAGATCAGCTGGACAAATGAGATATATAACAGAGGTAAGAAATGGCTCCATACAGTGAATCCCTTGTAATCATGAGCAGGATAGATCAAAGTATCCTTGGGCAAGGTGAATATCTGCTTCCAACAAAAATACAGCCAGGTTAACTCATGTTTCATTATCTGGACACTTTCTAGTTTATTCATTTCATGTCCTTGCCTGTGAATGCACTGACTGATAAAGTTGATGTGAACTTCCGCCCTGTAAGTAAATATTAATAAGGTCAGAAACGGTCAGAAACACTTGCTTGGAATATCCTCCTATACAATGACCCTTAAGAAAAATCGAGTGCTCAGTGACATTCTGCCAAATAATAAAGTTTAGCAAACCTGAAAAATCAGTTCTCCCACATCCCCGTATCAGTAAAGCGTCCCCAGTAAAAGCCATCTTGGTGGTGGCTGAATCAGGCCCATCTCCAGTAAGAATAAGTAACACAACCTGAAATGTATGCCCAGGGGTAGGCTTCGTAACCTGTCCAAAATAAAATAACAAATGATTTGGGTCCAGTAATGGGTGGATAGATAGAGACAAAAAGATGAGATGAAAACAAAAATCAATGTGCAAAAACAGTGAAAAGATAATAAATGCATTGGTTGCTCTTGCTACTCTTGTACATATTATATTTGGTATATGCATTGCAATGACAATAATGCATTACCATTCTACCATGTATTGTCATGAATGATGGCTTGGCAGGTTATCACTGAATCTCAGACACGATTCATATCATGTGCAGAGCACTTTTTCGTTAGAGGGAATGCATTTTGCATCTTTCTAGTACTATTTTTCTGTACTCACTTTAATACTATTTTCTCTTGATGTCATCAAAGTAATACTATTTTCCTCTAATATTATTTCTCTGTACTATTCTACAAATAACCTTCAACTTTAAACAAATAACCTTCAAACTTTAAAAAAAAAGAAAAAGGGAAAAAAAAGGTTAGAAAAAAAAACTTTTAACAAACTTAGTAATGTCCCATTATGAATTGTGCTTAAGTATCCATTTATGAATTGTGCTTAGTAAGTGCAGCCTCCAGCAATCAAAAACACACAGACCAACTAAAGATTGACTCTACCAGATAGTTTTGACTCTGTTTCTAGGTATAATGTTAAGAGGTTCTTTGGCAAAAGGTATAATAACTCACATTTAAAATATAAGAAAGGAGGGAAAAACTAAGCCCATGAACATTAAAATTGTAGAAATTTAAAAAGCAATATGCCACTATGCATTTCGATTATTGAAAGCGTCTAGAATTCTAACACCAATTTTGGGACCAACTTTAATTACTCAAATATCTCTTTGCTCTTTGTGTTGTGTTTTATGTATAACCTGCTTTATGATTAAAAGAACACTAATGCTTACTAAGAATAGTACTGGACCGGCATCCTAAGTTGCAAAACAAAATTAGAACCTTCTTGAAAATGTGAACCTATAAATTTAGAGCCATCACCCCAATGACATATTAAAAAAATTTGTGACGTAGAATCCTTACAACATTATGAAAAAATTAAGTCAAATACTTCTCAAAAGGAAGACTATCAATAGTAATAATTAGACATTTTAGATCAAATTATTGGTGCCAAATCATATAAGTCACTTTGTAATGGAATTTGCATATTGGAATTTGGCATATACATATGCCAAATACAGCAGGCTGGATTTAGAAACTTCAGTGGATCCTTAACCGGAAGTTGAGAAATTCACATTGGGTCCTGTATCACTGTTTTAAATGTTGTCCTACACTTAAAAAGCATATTGTCGACCTGATTCCTCTCCTTCTTGTTTGTGCCCAATGGCATTGTTTTTATCTTTTGCCAAATTGTCAATTCTTTTTAGATCTATCAGACATAAGCCAAGCTATATATTGATTCTACAATCTCCAACGAAAAAATACCACATTCAGCTACCTAATTTTTCCTTTTTTAGATTTCAGTATGACTATCCACTGCCAATCTGTTGGCTGCTGCTCTTCTGAATTTGAAACCTTCATGCTTCATCTCATAAATTGGAGAACAGGATTTCAAATGAACTACTTACACAGCTGAGTTTCGTGGTTATTATGAATCAAAGAATGAAGTATTGGAAGCTATTTGGATGATTATTTTTTAGTTGGAAGCTATTTGGATGATTATTTTTTAGTGCTCATAAACTTTGGTGACTTCAAGGTAAATAATGTAGTTTAAATAAATTTGCTTTGGTTGCTGGAATCAAGAAACAGATTGACTTGCATCTTCTTTAAACTCCAGCTATTATCTTAAGATTTATGAAATTCATATTTTCTAGTATTTTTTTTTTTTTTTTTTTTTTTTTTTTTTTTTTTTTGGTAAGAAATATCAAGAGTTGGTTGCTTCATCTAACCTCCAAGGAACCCCTTTCCTTTGCTGCTAAAATTATTTGCCACAAATGACTGTTGAACCTTAATCTAACAACAATCTTTATTGGCAGAATAAAGATAACACTACAATCTTTATAGGCTAATGTTCTGCACTTCTTTTTTCTCTTAAAACAAGATACAAATATCCAAATTTTGCCAAATACCCACTTCTTTTAAGTTGGAAGGCAATGTTAAAATTTGCTTCTTATTTCAGCGTACATATGCAGATTTAAAATATCCAGGATAGGCTGACAGAATTAAGAATCTGAAGATTTTAGCAATGTTAAAATTTGCCTTTTATTTCAGCATACATATGCAGATTTAAAATATCCAGGATAGGCTGACAGAATTAAGAATCTGAAGATTTTAGGATATTTGAGATGATTCGGCCTTTCTTCGATTACTTTGCACAAAAAAGCTACATTACAAAAGCTAGTAAAATGAATGGTACCTCCAGAAACAAATCGCCGTAATGTATTTTATCACCAGCTTGAATGAGAAGATCAGCTTTTGAATTGCTAGCTTTTGCAATAATAGATTTCACGTCAAGAAGCTTTGTCTACAAATTGAGCATAAAAACTGATGAAACATTTGCGTTTATAAATGTAATTTGCAAATTAAATGCAGCCAAACCTTTATCAATCCAGTTCCTGTCACATGATCAGCATGCACATGAGCATTTATAGCATAAATTAGCTTTAACCCTAACTCTTTTACAAGGGTGAGGTCTCTGTCTACTGTTTTATCAACTGGATCAATCAACTGCACAGAAAAGGTTATCACACACACACACACACACTAATATATTATTTAGATTAAGAAATTATAGAGAAAAATAAACCAGAGGCAGATTTAATTCAGGTGAGCAAACATCACCAGCAAAATAGGTTATAAAGAGGATTCCTTCCGAAAAAAGCTGGCGAACACAAGAGCTTGCTTGAGAGCCCAGAAGACGACGCCGCATAATTGCTCATTGCGCAGAATCTGGGCACTGCGTATTGCGACTTTGAAAAGGATGATGGCATCGAAAGAGAAAGTCGAAGCATATTTAAACGAAGCATTGTTGTTGTGATATTCAATTTGGCGGTGAAATCGGGCAGCACTTAGCTAAATTGTGCTATTATTGAATGTGATTCGATGTTGAACCTATCGCCCGTGCCTCCACTCTTTTATCTTCTTCTTTAAGGGACAAAGACAAAAACGTTCAGGACAACTTCAAGCAATTTATTTGTATTAAATTACCTGCAGATTAATGTGCAAAAAACAATATTGACACGGAAAAATTTTTCCTCACTAAATGAGATTAAATTTAAAAAATTTTAAAGCCTTATATATTTATTTAAAAAATATTTTAAAAAATTAAATTCTCAAATGTCTAATTATCTTATATGTAATTTTGATAGTTAAAAGTATACTGGCCAAAATATGACCTCGAAAAGAAGTAAAGAAGAAGGAAGAAATATAAGAGAAAGCACCAAATGGATAACTCAACTACTATGTATCAATTCTTTAGCAACTACTATGTATCAATTCTTTAGCACTTACCTGGTATAGCCTTGTAAAAACTTCTTTGAAGATCCTCTTTGTGCTTGGAAAGATAAGCATCTCCACCCATATAAGCAAGAACCAAGCATGGATAAACAACTCCTGTAAATGCAATCTATTTCAAGAAGGAATCAATAATTCAACAATCAAATTTCTTCATAATCGATTCAATAGCTTAAAACATCATAAATTGAAGTAGGCTAGGAAAATAGATATCATGAGAGGAAGTTGTGAGAAATGGCCAAGATCAATAAGAAGGGACGATGAGAATAGGGATTTGGTGACTGCATACAAGTTATTATCGAGAAGGAACAAGATGGAGAAGAAAAAGGGGAGAGATGAAATTAGGGATTTTAGACTAAATCAAAACGGTGCGTTTTGTTGTAAAAAACGGGGTTTTGATCATTTCTAGGGGCTTAGTTTTGTGGGTAAATTGGAAATCTTAATTTAAGTATTAAAAATAAAATTTAAATTCTTCTAATTTATTTTGAATTTTTTAAAATATGGTAAATAATTACTATTAGAGTCTTTTAGTTAAATAAAATGAAATTAAAATAAAATTTTTTAAATATATTATTTTCTATGATTTTCACGTATTTGGATTATATAGATATTAAATTGACATTTAAAATTTTTTATAATTCCTATTTTAATAAAAAATAGAAGTTATGGAAATTAAATTTGAACTTATATCAATACGAATTCTTTTTATCTAGATATATAATTTTTTGAAAAAAGTAAACTATAGAAGTTGAATTAATGAAAAATAGGTATTTAGACATATTTTCTCTCTTTTCCATTCTATTTTAATTCTATTATTTTGAAATTTTTAATTGAATTTTCATTTTAATTTTTTATGATTGATTTATATTTAAAATTTTTTTAAATACTTTTTATAAAATTACATATTAAGATAATTAGATATTTGAGAATTTAATTTTTTTTAGAAATTTTTTTAAATAATATTAAAGGCTATAAATATATAAGGCTTTAAAATTTTTAAATTTAATCTCATTTAGTGAGAAAAAATTTTTCAGTGTCAATATTGTTTTTTGCACATTAATTTGCTGAGAACTTCAAGCAATTTAATACAAATAAATTGTTTGAAGTTGGCCTGAACATTTTTATCTTTGTCCCTTAAAGAAGAAGATAAAGAGTGGAGGCACAGGCGATAGGTTGAACATCGAATCACATTCAATAATAGCACAGCACAATTTAGCTAAGTGCTGCCCGATTTCACCGCCAAATTGAATATCATAACAACAATGCTTCGTTTAAATATGCTTCGACTTTCTCTTTCGACGCCATCATCCTTTTCAGAGTCGCAATACGCAGTGCCCAGATTCTGCGCAATAAGCAATTATGCGGCGTCGTCTTCTGGGCTCTCAAGCAAGCTCTTTTTTTCGCCAGCTTTTCGAGAAGGAGTCCTCTACTTATACCTATTTGCTGGCTGATGTTGCTCACCCTGATAAACCTGCTCTGGTTTTGTGTGTTTTTCTTTTTTTTTTTTATTATCAATTTTTCTTTTATTCTTGTGATTTAATTATATATTTGTGATTTAAATTATATATAATATATAAATAATATATATATAATATGTGTGTTGTGTGTTGTGTGTGTGTGTGATAGCCTTTTTCTGTTATGCTGAGTGCTGATTCGATCCAGTTGATAAAACAGTGGACAAGACCTCTCCCTTGTAAAAGAGTTAGGGCAGAGACCTCTCCCTTGTAAAAGAGTTAGGGTTAAAGCTAATTTATGCTATAAATACTCATGTGCATGCTGATCATGTGACGGGAACTGGATTGATAAAAGTTTGGCTGCATTTAATTTGTAAATTACATTTATAAACACAAATGTTTCATTAGTTTTTATGCTCAATTTGCAGACAAAGCTTCCTGGCGTGAAATCTATTATTTCAAAAGCTAGCAATTCAAAAGCTGATCTTCTCATTCAAGCTGGTGATAAAATACATTTTGGCGATTTGTTTCTAGAGGTACCATTCATGTTATTAGCTTTTGAATGTAGCTTTTTTGTGTAAAGTAATTGAAGAAAGGCCGAATCATCTCAAATATCCTAAAATCTTCAGATTCTTAATTCTGCCAGCCTATCCTGGATATGATATGATAATTATGTCATCAACCATATGGGTCATACGACTAATTGGTATATAGATACCCTTAGATAATAAGATTCATTCTTATCTAATTTATTCATAGATAATTGGATATAATAACCCATATACATCAACCTAAGTTAAAAAAGAAGGGTATCCCGAAGTCTCCATATACCAACAATTACACAATCTAGGATAGGTATACCTAGAATATACCTATAAGTATGATATCACCAGTGATTCTGCTGAGCTCAACCAGTATTGATATATCCAGGTACCATAAGCGTAATGGCTATGTGTATCATACTATTTCATATCATAACTATTTCATATCATAACGGTTGGGTACGCATATTAGTTGGGGTGATTATATGAATGATCATCCTAATAAGATAGGGTGGATAATACTTAGTGGCCGGTTAATAATGGGGTAGTGACCTATTATGGGACAATTCAGATTGTCCTAGTATCTACGTGTTTGATTTGTCATGCATGATCATTGACCATTGAAGTAGTGGATCAATGTCATTTCTATCTAAATTATACCTTTCTAAAATTATAGCTATAGTCAATATTTTATCATCCAGTATACCAAGTTATTATCAAGTCAATTAATGATCATATAATCATCCAGTATACCAAGTTATTATCAAGTCAATTAATGATCATATAATTATCATACCAATGATGTCTAGGGACAAATATCCATCCCTACTCACTCAAAATATATAATATTGCTTATAAGCTCATTGTATTCAGATCATGATACAAATTTTATAGATTATATCCTGTGTCTATGTTCGTGCTTATCAATATAGGATAATCTTGATTTAGATTGTACAAAGTTTGCGATGCATCAGATTGTAAGTAAACACTATCAGATACAACTATGAATATGGTTTAGTCAATACATGCTTGGGTCAGTTGTCGATTAAGTATTATAGATGCAAGCATCATGCACATTTGTAACGAAACTCATGCCAGAACATTATGGGACAAGCTTGAAGAGCTATATGCCTCAAAATCCGACAACAACGAATTGTTTTATTTGACGAAGCTGATGAATTTCAAATACCAAGAAAGTACTTCTGTAGTAGATCACTTGAGTGAAATGCAGGCGACTATTCACCAGCTGTCAAATATGGGCATAAAATTTGATGATAAAATCCTCGGCCTTATGGTGCTTGCCTCCGACTATTCAGCGCTAGCGTCCAACTATTATGGGACGATTATAATAGTTGATGTATAAAATCCTCGGCTTTGGTGCTGCCTGCTTCAAAAAGAGTTCATGGGAGACTTTGAAGATATCAAATGTACAACACAAAACCTAGCACCTATGTTTAAACAAACATAGTGGAGTTATCTGCTATTTGGGCATTTTTCGTTCAAATATCAATCTGTCTACTGAGAATGAAGAAGAGTAGAGATGCAAAGCAACAGAAATCCTTCTTCATATCAGTCAGAATTCCCTTTAGCAGTGCTAAAAAAGAAATAACCAGCCTCGAAAGGAAGGAGCCAATCTAGAAGTTCAAATAACAAGAGATAACGAGCAGGGGTATGAATCAAACGAATTCTTGCCAATATCTGTGTGCCCGATCATTGTGGGAAAGAAGGGGGCACTTAAAAGGTATTGCCTGGGAGTGTCAAAAGTGATCAAGAGAGAAGATCAAAGGCAAAGCAAAGAAAGAAGGCAGTAATGATGAAGCCAATGTTATTGCTGAGTTCCAATTGTTCATTGAAGACACTATCAATCTTGCAACCCAGGAGACCAGTTGGGTAATTGATAGTAGGGCTACACTTCATGTAACATCTCGGAGAGAAAATTTTTCATCTTATACACCAGACAATCTGGGTGTGGTCAAGATAGCAGACGACGAACTGTTGAAAGTCATCGGTAAGGGAGATATTTTCTTGGAGACAGAAAATAGTTCGAGATTAATTCTAAAAGATGTCATGCATGTACCAGACATGCATTCTAATTTAATCTCGATTGGAAGACTTGATGCTGAAAATTTCTGTAGCACTTTCAGGAATGTTCACTGGAAACTCTGATGCTGAAAATTTCTGTAGCACTTTCAGGAATGTTCACTGGAAACTCACAAAAGGTTCCATGGTAGTAGCCAATGGAAGGAAAGACCCAAAGCTGTACGTGATGCATGCGAAGCTCTCCCAAGATACTTTAAATGTAGTGGAGGATGATAGTACAGTTGAATTGTGGCATAAATGACTAGGCCATATGAGTGAGAAAGGAATGACAACCCTGGTAAAAAACAACATGCTATCTAGATTGGATAAAGTCCATTTAGAGAAATGTTCTGATTGTATGGCAGGAAAGCAGAATAGAGTAGCCTTTAAGATTTCTCAGCCTTCCAGAATGAATCTCAGCCTTCCAGAATGAAGAATGTGTTAGATATGGTACATTCAGATCTGTGTGGACCATTGACGATGTCATATGGTCGAAACATTCAGATTTGTGTGGACCATTGACAATGTCATATGGTGGAAATCGATATTTTGTGATATTTATCGATGACCATTCTAGGAAGACCTAGGTATACATGTTGAAGTCTTCTAAACCTGGTTGAGAGACACACAGACAAAAAGCTGAAGTACATCAGAACAGATAATGGTGGAAAATACACTAGGCCATTTGATGCTTTCTACAAAGAGCATGACATTCAACTTCAAACGACACCTCCCAAGACGTCGCAACTGAACAGTTTTACTGAGAGGATGAATAGAACTTTGATGGAGAGAGTCAGATGTCTACTCTCACATGCAAAGTTGTCTAAAAGATTTGGGGTGAAGTGTTACTCACAGTAGTTCGCCATTCACTCTGTTTCCCTCTACAGTATGATACTCCAGAGAGAGTATGGTTAGGAAAGGATGTTTCCTATGATCATTTGCGATCACCTTGTGTTCCTCTACAGTATGATACTCCAAAAAGAGTATGGTCAGGAAAAGATGTTTCCTATGATTATTTGCGGGTGTTTGGTTGCAAAGCCTTTGTGCATATTCCTAAGGATGAGAGGTTTAAGCTTGATGTCAAGACTCGACAATGTGTATTCATTGGCTATGATAAATTTGGCTATAGATTTTTTTATCCAGTCCAAAAAAAGATGATAAGAAGTAGATATGCTATATTTGTTGAAAATAAGACTATTGAAGATGTTGAAAAGACTCAAAAGCAAGCTGCCGATAGATTTGATGATGATTCAATAAATGTGCAAATAGTTCCTCTAACAATAGAATAAAGACAAGTTGGAGATGAAGAAAATAAAGTCAAAGTTGGGAGATGAAGAAAATGTTTCCACAAGAACAAAGCCAGAAGTTTAGAAAATCAGAAAGTTCCCTCTATAAAATGAAGCCAGAAGACGATTTTGAATGGTGTTTCATGTTCAGCCACCAGCACCAGAAAGGGTTTCTGCAAACATTAAAGAAAGGTCTAGTAGAGTCAGACAAAACCATCTAACTAGATGATTACAGCAAATGAATATGTTATTGATGACTGACGGGGGAGAACCTGAATGTTTTGGAAAGAAGGCAATGGAAGGGTTGAACCCAAAAAGGAACTGGCATTGAAAGCGCAATGCAAGATGAAATGAAATCCTTGCATGGAATAAAAAAATTTGAGGCTGGTAAAGTTGCCCACAAGGCAAGAAGCTTTGAAGAACAAGTGGGTGTTCAGGAATCAGGCAGGAAGAAACACAGCGCCAACTCCCAACCACGATTCAAAGCTAGACTGGTTGTGAAAGGATTCCATCAAAGAAAGGATATTGATTTTGATGAAATCTTTTCACCAGTTGTGAAAATGACATCCATTCGAACAGTGCTCGGAATGGCCACCAGTTTTAATCTGGAAATCAAGCAAATGGATGTGAAGATTGCCTTTCTACATGGTGACTTGGAAGAAGAAAAATACATGGAGCAGCCAGAGGGTTTCATCAAAAAAGGAAAAGAGGATTATGTTTGTAAACTGAAGAAAAGCCTGTACGGCTTGAAGCAGGCACCAAGACAGTAGTACAAGAAGTTTGAGTTTGTTATGGGGGAGCAAGGCTACAAAAAGACTACTTCAAATCATTAGACTACTTCCAAAATCATTGGTCTTCATAAAGAAAATTCTCTGAATGATGACTACATATATTCTCTTGCTCTATTGTAAGATGATATGTTGATTGTTGGTCAGAATTCTGTCAGAAATTAATAGCTTGAAGAAATAGCTAAGTAAGTCTTTTTACTGTGAAGACTTGGGACCAAGCAAAGCCAAAATTCTAGCATGAAGTTACAAGGAATCGAAGATCCAAGAAATTATGGTTGTCCCACAAGGGAAGTTATTGAGAAAGTACTCTCAAGGTTTTAAAATGGAGAATTCTAAAGCGGTTAGTGTCCTCTTGCTATCACTTTAAATTAAGCTTCAAAAACAGTTGCCCCTCTAGCCGGATGAAGAGAAAGGAAAGAGATGGAAAAAGATTCGCCCATATGCTTCATAGCAGTTGGAACTTAATGTATGCCATGGTTTGTATCACGGCCAGATATTGCTCATCAGTCGAGGTAAGTGAGTCGGTTTTTTCAATCCCTGGAAAGGAACATTGGGGCTGCAGTGAATGGATTTTCAGGTATCGTTCGAGGTACAACCAAAAGGTATGTTACCAAAGTATGTTTATGCTTTGGAGATGAGAAGCCAGTATTAGTCGGTTATACCAATGCAGATATGGCTGGGGATGTTGACTCGAGAAAGTCTACATCATGATATCTAATCACATTTGCAGGGGGAGCTGTGTCGTGGCAGTCCAAATTACAGAAATGTGTCGCTCTATCAACAACTGAGGCAGAATTCATAGCATTAACAGAAGCTTGCAAGGGGTTGCTGTGGATGAAGAAGTTCTTGAATGAACTCGGAATTCATCAAGAACGATATTTGATATTTTGCGATAGCTAGAGTGCGATTCATCTTGGGAAGAATTCCTTCATTCAAGGTCAAAGCATATTGATGTTAGATATCAATTGAGTGGGATGTTACTGGAGATGAAGGCCAGTTACAGCTTGAGGAAGATCCATACAGAAGGAAAATGGATCAGAATATGTTAATTAAAGATTCTTCCGCAAAAGACAATGTTTGAATATTTGTCGATTAGCTGCAGATGATGGAGAGCATGGCTAACGTCCCCACTTGATGTGCAGGGACTTGAGTGTGCAGGGGGAGATTTGTTATGGTGGTGCCCACTCAAATGGGACCCACATGTTTGTTATTGGTGTGGCGGTGCCCACTCAATGGGACCCACACACGTGATAAATAAGAAAAAAAAAAGGAAAAGAAAAATTGGCAAAGATGGAGAGTCGTGACTGAGTTATACACGGCTCTCCCGTCTTCCTCTCCTATAAATAGGAGAGGATTTGCCTCAGTTCAACCACTCCAACAGAGATTAATAATCTCATATGTAGAGAGTTTTTCAGTTTTAAGAAAGGGTTCTTAAAACTAAAGGTCTAGAAAAATAGTGAAGATTATTGGGGTGTTTTTGGGAAACACTAGTGGCCACTATTTTGTGTATTACTCTTCTTGTGTAAAGCCTACTATTTTTAATAGTGGAAGAAATTATTTCGGAGTGTCCCGTGGACGTAAGCCCTTAAACAAGTTAGGGTGAACCACCGTAAATTCTCTTGTGCCCATTTCTATTTTTCTGCTGCCGTTAATTATTTCCTAATTTATTACTTGGTGCCCTAAACCCATACATGAATGGATAAAGCTTCTTCATGGAATTGTCTTCAATCCGCACATATCTTAATTGCCACTATTTTGTATTACTCTCTTTGTAAGCCTACTATTTTTAATAGTGGAAGAATTATTCGGAGTTGGTCCCGTGGACGTAGCCCTAAACAAGTTAAGGGTGAACCACGTAAATTCTGTGTGTCCCATTTCTATTTTTCTGCTGCCGTAATTATTTTCCTAATTTTATTACTGGTGCCCTAACACCCATACATGAATGGATAAAGCTTCTTCAGTGGAATTGTCTTCAATCCGCACATATCTTAATTTTCCCCTACAAACTGCAAGATAATTATACCAGAATACTTTCTTATATCTATCGAAGAGTGGTAGATAAATGAAACGAGGGCACTCAACTTTATTAAATGGATTGATTCCAATCAATACATCGGACTTATTAATCCAAAACAGCATTCCGTTATATGGAATGCCAATAATGTTCAAACAAGGGAATGGAAAGACTTGAGGCGTCTAAGGCACAATTTTTCACTCTAATTAGCAGAATCAGAAGTGAAAATATGAACTTTAAGGTCCTTGCCATTGTAAAAAACATATGGAATTCTAACCACGGCATTCTTAAAACTACTACCGCTGCCTTAGAATATAAATCCAAAGCAACAATTCTTTTGAGGAAGAGGACAAGGAGGGACTTGAATCCATCTTCTAGTAAGTGGATTACATATATACTAATCATTATAATCATCATCAGACAACGAAACAACAAATCTTGTCTGACGGCTGCACAGTACCAAATCTTGGCACCACCTTATCACCACGGCTATTTCATAAGGTAAGTAAGAGAAAGTAAATTCGTGGGACTTGAAAATACTCTCTTCTGAAGTCACCAATAGTTCAATTTATTCCGGCATTGCATCGATACGACATAAGGAGAGAAGAGGTATTGTTGCTTTCAAGGAAGCAGTGAACGAAATAAGGACTAGACATAAGAGCGTACTAGTGCTTAGAAAAAAAGCATGCAATTCTTGGCTGATTTCAACAGGAGGCGGTGCAGAATTTCGATTAGTAGACCGTCGGGAACATCTTTGATGCTTGTACATCCACATTATAAAGGCAAATGCTTCTGCTTGCTTGTTAAAGATCCCCGATTGCTTCTGCTTGCTTGTTCCATTGTAGAATTAGAGTTAGAGAAACAGCAATTAATCCAAACAAAGACAATCTTTCATTGATCCCCAATTGTGAAGAAGAAGACACCTAATTTCCACCTCTCTCTCTTCCCTTGTAAATGATCTTACACGGTGAAGTCACGCGTAGGACCTGAGTTTTAAGGATTCATAAGGAAAAGAAAGCTACGTGGTGTCTATGTAGCCACAAAAATCTTTGTACTTTTAAGTTGATTTTGGGATTGGTTTCCCGCTCAAGTCCAAGTCATATTATTTTTAATTCACAAATAAGTTATTTTTCTTAGAAAAACTTACTTTTCTTTTTTATAATGTTAATGGAGAAAATTAAATCTATTTACAATTTAACTGATTTAAAAAAAAATTAATGGAGAAAACTATTTCTTATTTAATATATTACACATATAGCCTTTTTAATTGTATGTAAATAAAATGAAATTATTCAACTATTAATTAATAAAAGAGTCTCTGTGAATGCTAATCAAATAATAGTCTGGTTGGTCCTACTTATGTGAAGAGTGAGAGTTCTCGAATTTGAGTCCTATTAACCACAGTTATTTTCACCAAATTGATGAGTTAAGGGGAGGGCTATCTCTCGTTGTGTAGCTTAAAAATTAATTGGTTATTTTATTCAACCATTAATTGTAAATAGTAGACGTTTGCAATAATTAAAAGAATGGACATATATTATTATGTAATTATAGTGTTAATAAGTCTTAAGAATTAGTATTGGAAAATATCAAATAGATATAATTACAAATTTGGTCTATGATTTTTTAATACGCCTTTTAATTTTTATTATTAAGTATTTAAACTTCAAATTTTCAATGAAGTTTTATGGTCAACTTATATCAGTATTTTCAAAATTAGGATAACCCATTAGATCGATTTAACAATAAATCAATTACTGGTCTAGTTTGATTTAACATTTAAAATCAGAAAATTAGATTAACCCGTAAAATTCTTTTTATTTTTAAAGGGAATAAAAAATTAATTTAATCATTATCTAAATTCTTCAAAAATAAAAAATATATCCATAATTAAGAAAACTGTACTTACTTTAAATCAAACTCGCAAATAATAGAATTCCAAAATAACCACCAAAATCTAACTCTTTTCATTTCTCTCTTTTAAGTAAAGCGCAGTGTAGACGCTCAATTTTTGCCTTAAAAAGATTCGATAATTTTTTGTGAGAAAATGAGTTTGAGACCTTCGACAAATTTGATTCTCGGATCAATAATTTGAGTTTAAAAAATATGACCTGTCGGGTTATTTTCACGTTTTCAAGGTCCGCATCGAAAGAGGGCCCAGAAAGGGTCTCGGGTGCACTCATAACGCATCCCGGTGCACTATTATGTTTTATGTGCGGTTCGGACTGATTTCGTGAAAATATGGCAAAACTAATCAAAATCGAGCGAATGATTAATTCGAATTGGTTTGATTCAAATGCAAATATCGTCTCAATTCAATCACGTGTCCACAGACTCTGATTTAATTTTTTGGCTTGATTCAAGTCGATTTGAACCAAACAGATCGTTTGCTTCTTTTAGTTTGAGGTACTTGAAGATTAGGCCCCTTTAATTTTAAATTCCAGTGTTACTTTTCTACTGTTCTTTCATCAAATCAGACCCAACTCACAGCGATTTATAACTGATCTAACTGACGGATCCGGTCTGATTTTTAAAAATGCTGAATATTTATCCTCCATTAAACCCGAGAGACACAAAGATAGTTGGTAACCCTTACCTAGACTCAGAGACTCAAAGACTGATACTCAGTGAGGACGATGGACATGCTATTGCTCTCCTCCCCTTCTCCTGTAACTTCCTCTCCAAGACCGGTTCTTCCTCTCTCTAAACCCTCACCTCTCTCTTTCAATTTCAAACCAATCTCTTCTCCTCTAAAAACTTTCTCACCTCTCAAAGCCTCTAAAACCCTAACTCCCCAATTTTCGGCGCCACAGACGCCGGCCACCGCAATGAGAGGAGCAGAGTCCGATGCCATGGGGCTGTTGCTGAGAGAGAGGATTGTGTTCTTAGGTAACAATATTGATGACTTCGTTGCCGATGCCACTATCAGTCAATTGTTGCTTTTGGATGCTCAAGACCCAACTAAAGATATCCGTCTCTTCATTAACTGTCCTGGTGGTTCTCTCAGGTAAAGAATGCGTTTGGCTTTTGGTTTTCTCTTTAAAATTTATCAAAGGTTTTAGATTTAGAACCATAGAATAAGTGAAATTATTTTGTTTTAGAAATTTCTCATCTTCTAAAGCTAAATAGTGACTGCATTTTCAGTACAAGAACTGTGATTTATGAATGCAATAGCTTTCCATGAAGAAATGCTTCCAAGTAACATAGGAACTGTTGTTTTCATTCAAAGCAGTGTGGAATTCAAAGGGTTGCAACAACTGCTAGTTTTACTTTTTATGATGATGGTAATCTTTTTGTTGATATGTTTTATAGAAGAAATAAATTTGTTTTAGTTGCGGTTATTAGTGAAAGGTATGCAGAGTTTGCAGACCATTTCTTGGCTGCTTCTTTGTAGGGGGTTGTGGTATTGTATACTCTCTTTTTTCTATACAAGGGGAGAGATCATTCTTTGGACACTGTAACAACTGTTGTGGAGTTGATATTGGTAATGATAGAGATAGGTTCATACCATTGTGGTTATTGTGGAGTTTGTGGATTGAAATTTGTTGGGTTTTATGGGATAGGAGAACTTTATCAGTGAGTTTAAGTATGGTGTTTCAGGAGCTTGTTTTCTTATTGAAGACTATTTTAAAGGGACTTTTTAGATTCCAGATCTCTTTCTATCCTTTGTTTTCTTTTTGTTTTTTAAACTGGCATTTCTCTAGTACTGCCTGTGCATTAGGTCATGCTTTCTGATGAAGTTTAATTTTCCAATAAGAAAGGAAACATTATTTTTTAATATCATCCTGCATTTAACTACTTGATTTGACAAGGCTAATTCAGAGCTGGAAATAATGAATTTTTGCTGCTAAACATTCTTGGAATTGATTAACTATGTAGATTCAATTTCTACTCTAAGAACTCTTGTTTCATAATCAACGTCAGAAATAAGCTATCTGCTGTTGTTTAATTAATCTGCTGTTATTTAATTAATGACTTTCTGTGAAACTCTGCTTCTGTTGTACTAATTTGTAGGACCAAGCCAATGCTGGTAGTTTTGATGTTAAACTGTATTTCTGTTTGTCTTGAGTATTTGTTAGAGGTAATATTATTAATAGCATAATAGTTTTTTTTTTTTTTTTTTTCTAATTTCCTCCGCCCCATACTCCAGCCTCCTTAGGTTGGCCCCTACTCCAGATTTTTGGCCTTTGCTCTGGTTTTTTAGTACTTTAGTTTTCTCATTTTGGCGTTTTCCTATACTTTAGTATGAGATTATTATTAAGACCTATGCTGTGTTGAAGGGATATATGTATTGATCCTATCGATTGCTTTTTTAGGACAGGTCTGAGTTAAATAGCAATGATTCGAAACACTTCTTTATACACTGTTTCGGAAGCATGAGGACTCAATGATTCTAAACATTTTTTTTTTACACTGTTTCAAAAGCATAAAGGCTCAATTGTATGGATATGTAAAATAGAGGATTTTCAATCCTAGCAAGAAAATTGAGGAACACGATACTCAATTTAAAGTCAATCTCATAAATATATATTAAACGAAACTGTATGTAGGACTCGAAGGGAAGTTTTTCATATCATTTGAGATCTACCCATAATTAAAATATGATTTAATTTAAAAGACAAGAAATATGTAAAAGCTTCATAATTTTAAAAGCAATGTGTAATTAGGATCCTAATGCATTCAAAAATATATAGAGTATTTAACTATTTATTGAATATTTTTCAGCTAAGTTAAAGTTCAATTAATAAAAAAAGAATCTCTCATGTTTAACAATTGAATTGATCTATAATAATAATAATAATAATAATAATAGCTTTAAAAAATAATAATGACAATCTATCTACACTATATATAAATGTGGAAATATGAGGAATAATGAGATTTTCGATATCACTCTTTATGAAATTTAATATTCTAAAATAACTTTAGTCATAGTCAATTCAAAAATTACATTTCATACCGACAAATGTATGGATGAGTGGTTCGGCACTCTTCTTCCTTAAGTGAAGTTGAGACTTTGATTCTCATGATGAAGCAAATATTCAATGCAGGTAAGATTTAGTTTTAGTCCAATGGGCTCGAGATAATTATAGTTAAGATAAAAAAAAAATATTAAATTTTATTATTTGATTGGATATAATTTCTAAAAGTTATTTTTAAATAAATACATATAGATAAGAAAATTAAATAAATACATATAGATACTTACTTTTCTTCTCTGTATGGTTGTACAGAAAATTAATGGTTTCTTTGGCAAAGATAGCATGTTTCTTTTATACAACTTAGAAAAATAGACAAACAAAATTAGATTCTAACATTATTTGCTTTGTAATTTTCATTTATTGACTTGGCTATAATCTTTTTTTTTTTGGTTCTATCAACATAAAATTTCATTAAATTACAACATTTCCAAGTTAAAAGAAGAAGTTGATTTTTTTAAAATTCAAATTTGGTAATTTTTTTAATTATAATTTGTTTCTTAATTATATTTTGTTGAGTTCAAAAAAAGAGTTTATATTCTTAAAAAAAAAAAAAAAAAAAAAAAAAAAAAAAAAAAAAAAAAAGAGGAAAGTATATTCTTCCTTGAAGAGGGTTTATTTGGAGAGAATAGAACGTTTATTTTATGTACTCTTTTTGATTAATTAATTAACTTATTTATTTTAAAATTTGCAACGTAGAAAAATGGAGAACCAAAATTAGATCCTAGCATTATTTGCTTTGTAATTTACATTTATTGAATTGGATATAATTTTTTTTTGGTCTATCAACATAAAATTTCATTAAATTACAACATTTCCAGTTAAAGAAGAAGTTGATTTTTAAAATTCAAATTGGTAATTTTTTTAATATAATTTGTTTCTTATTATATGTTGAGTTTCAAAAAGAGTTATATTCTTAATAACAAATTTTGTATTTTTTATTTTCTTTTTCGTTACTGAATTAATTTATAACTGCTATCACTTTAATTTAGTAAAAGATTATATCTCCCTTGCAATAATAGATGGCCTCTTGATGATTAAATATTTTAAATTTTCTTAATACTTTTTCTATTATATTCTAAATCTGTTTTACTTGAAAGAAAATAGTATTTATAAAACTAAAAATAACCTAGAACTATATATTTCTATTTTGGGTCACTTTTTAGGGTTTCAAGAATTTGTGTGTATGTGCATATATTCCTTTCTTCAATGCATTGAGTAAGTAATACTATCACTATAGCTAAAATAATTACCATTATCAATTTAGATAATCTGTTCGTTTTTTTTCTTTACGCAACAGTAAAAAATAATTTATTATTATTTTTCATTATAGTTGTATGTAGATATTGTTTGGGGTTGAGAGGAGGAGGTTGAAGATTGAGTGATGACTTGATTTTCTTTTTGGGCATTTATTAAGGTTTTAAGAATCTGCATTTATAAATTAAGGACTGAATGATTAGGTCTAGAGATTGAGTTGGATTTTATTTTGAGACCACTTCACTATAAAAAAAATTGAATTAAGTATATAATAAGTAACATTACAAGTAACTTGTACGACAAAGTCCGATGCAAATTAAGTAATTGGATTTATTTTAATCTAAACAAAAATTTATGTTTTAATATTATATAGATAAAAAAATTAAAAGAGTACAAATATGTAACGAGCATAGTCAACGTAGAAGGCACGTCATAAAAAAAACTAGTTACATTAATGGTACTTCTTTTAGTCGCTTGATGCAATTGAATTCCATAAAATATGGAATTTTGATAGGAGTGAGTTCTAAACCATATTAGTGTGAGGCTGGTGGTTTCATCTGACATGTTCACAATGTTTTTGCTTAAATTTGGTTGAGTAAGTCTGATCTACCTAATTTGATTTGCTTTTGGTGATCCTAATACACTCTAGTTTCAAATCAGTCAAACTTTGAGCTTGACATCTTTCATCACTTATAATGGTAATTAAAATGGGAGAGCTTTGAGGTCCAAATGCAACATAAAGCTATTTAAGCATTTTAAATGTATCCAATCATATGCAAAGCAATTGAGTAAATCAATTGTCAAATCACATACAATTGGAATGTAGCATCTTTACTGTCTTGGTCCTATAAACCATACCCATTTTCATTGGCAGTGATGTTGGCACCTTCAAAATTTCATGGGATTGTTAGCATAAGGGTTTCCTCAAGGTCCAAGTCATACCTCAGGTGCCCTTGACAATGCTAGATTTATCAAGTTTTTGACTACAGATGAAGAAAGTTAGCTTATTGTGGCTTGTGGATTAGTTAACATTGATGAGCATAAAGGATATTCTTGCAAAACGAATTTTCCAAATCCTTAAATGGGATATGAGCTGAACTAGGGAAGAAAGACTTGTGATCTTGATTCATCAGCAAAAGCCACAGTTTTCGTTGGAGGCTGACATCCTTGTTAAAGACATTACAATTTCAGTACTTGTGGATCTATAACGGATTAGAATATTTTATTTGAGAAGCATTGTGGATTGGTATCTTTCATGCCAACGAAAGCTTGATTTGGAATTTTCTATGTTTTTGAATTTGTGCATTGTGAATTACTTGGTTATTTCTTGTTCTCTTCACTTGTCAATTTCGTAGGCTCTAAAAATAGATGTCATTTGTCATCCCAACATAAGGGTTTTTTTTAATTTATCTGGAATTAGAATGGCAAGTTAAAAGATTAGTTTGTAATTTATTCTCTCAATTTAGGAAGTTAAACTTATTAGCCCCTATTATTGTAGTTGTTCTTGAGAATGGAAGAAGTTGAGTTGTTAAAGGGAAATCCAACTAGGTTTTGACTTCTCGCAGAAAAAATAAAAGTCTTTAAAGCTGCACACCAGGAAATTTTACTTCCTGACATCGTATGCCAAAAAGACATTCCTATCATGGATCCCCTCCCTCCATGCTTCCCTTTCTTGTGGTTATCTACTAAGTTATGTAATTAGAGTGTGATCACAAAAGCTACCAGAGATAAGCTGTTCAATGCTTCTGTCCACGGGCTTTGGCTTTAATGCTAGTCATGATGTCGGCTGGGGAAGTACCTTAGATTTGAATTTCTTATCCAAAAAGGATGCAAGGGAAAAAAGTAGTAAAGTCTGTAATGCCACTAGAAATGATTATTTAGGATGCCAGTAAGGAAGTTGTTATAGTATAAGCCTGATTTGTGATTCCAGCTCGCTTGAAGAGAAAGACCTCTTAACATTTATTGTTTTTTGTTTTTTTTAGCACCAAACTTAGTAAAGGATTTTATGTTTTAATAGGGTTATTTAGGAATTTTATATTTTGATAGGAGTACATAGCAATGTTCTAATCAAATTTCTCGTAAGGTTGTAGCCTCTGTAGAAATGTTTGTTTTTAATTGAATTAATATTTTGGGTGAACCTAGGGTCTTAAATTAGTAGTACGGTTGGATGGGTAAATAGACTCCTCATTCAATGTGATATGAAATTTTTTTCGGCTGCCACTGAAAACGACTGTATAAATTAAAAAATAAAAGAGAAGTAATCACAGTTGGATAATTAGGCATCTTCTTGTTCACAATCCAGACTTCATACTTAATTCTGACATAAATCATCCATGTACTGCAGTTTTCATCTTCAGGGATGATAACTAAATCCTATTTCATATCTTCCATCAAATAAAGAACAATGAATGAATGTGAAGTTTGTAGGATTTATTATCGTATTATTGCCCTTCAGCTCTGGAAAGGTGGAAGGACCATGTTTGTAGGTTATTGCAGACTATATATATTTATCCAATGCCATGTGTAAACAACAGTAATATCTACCACTTCCATTTCTCACTTTCTGTTATTATCTGTTTGTCTCAATAGCAAATAAGGTTAGTTCAGCATCCTCCAAATATAGGTTAATCAGATGTAGCTATTTATTCTGTGCCCATACCCAAGTCCAAGAGCAATAGCTTAGAATATAGAATAAATTAATTTTTTTACCTAGAAGCGCACTGTTAGATGTTATTATATCGTGTTAACAATGCTTTCTTTTTGAACGCAACCTATGGTCAAACTATGCCTTGACAAATTATTTTGTTGAACTACTGTGGTTTGATTCTTCTGCTGAGTTGCATTTTACGTTATTATGTCAGTGCTACAATGGCTATCTACGATGTGGTGCAGCTTGTGAGAGCTGATGTTTCCACAGTTGCCCTTGGTATCTCAGCATCAACAGCTTCTATAATTCTTGGTGGTGGCACAAAAGGTAAACGCTTTGCAATGCCAAACACACGGATAATGATTCATCAACCTCTTGGAGGTGCTAGTGGGCAAGCAATAGACGTGGAGATTCAAGCAAAAGAAATTATGCATAACAAGAATAATGTCATTAGAATTATTTCGGGTTTCAGTGGTCGCACAGTTGAACAAGTTCAAAAGGATATTGATAGGGATCGTTATATGTCTCCAATAGAAGCTGTTGAATATGGAATAATTGATGGAGTTATTGATAGAGATAGCATCATTCCTTTGGCTCCTGTTCCAGAAAGGGTAAAACCAACACTAAATTACGAGGAAATGCGTAAAGATCCAATAAAGTTCTTGACGCCAGATGTCCCTGATGACGAGATATATTAGTTCATGCCATGTGCTACAAGGTACCTTTCGATGTTCCCTAAAAATGTTAGTGGTCAAACTTCATATAATAAATAGAATAACTTGCAGCTTACTTTTCCTTGAACCAGAATTCTTTGGAAAAGAGTTGAGAATAATAAAGGAAATGACTTCTTGACTTATTTTGCATTGTACCACTAATTATTGGCCTGTTTTTTCTTAGACATTGAAATGTAACCTTTGATGTTTATGTTGATAGGCTCTCAGCATATTTCATTCACAAAAAGAATTGAAAGGTTCGTGGGAACCTACTGTCAAATGCATTTTTGTGCTGCATTGCAGATAAAATGATATTCAAGAAAGCTACCGGACAGGCCATCAGGATACAAATATTGCAAATCTGGAACAAGGCTTTTTTTCATTATGTAAGCTGTAATCTTTATGTAGACTTTAGACTTTTCAAGTTATTGCAAAATTTGAACGTCGAATTGATATAAAAACAGTCGAATTGATATAAAAACATTCGGATTATTTCTCTTATTTGTTTCAATCATCCTACAGTTGAGAAATAAATGTAACACGGTTTGGTAGTTTACAAGTTTCTTCAGTATTTTGATATCCTTGAGGCCTTGATCTGTAATCACTGCAGTTCGAATAAAAAATAGCTCTTAAGCCCTCTTGTCATGAGGGAAGTTGAATCATATTAGGTACAGATACAGATATGGGGCCCTAACTTGAAATATTTGAATATTTAAAATTTTATATGTATGTGTAAAATGAATATTTTCTGCGTCTTAGAAGAAAAGAAAAAAAAAAAAAAGAAAGAATTTTAGGAATAAATTGAAATTTTTAACTCCTGTAAAAAAAAAAAAAAAAAAAAAAAAAAAAGGGGAAGTTGAATCCATATTAGGTACAGGATACAATATGGGGCCCCTAAACTTGAATATTTGAATATTTAAAATTTTATATGTATGTGTTAAAAAATGAATATTTTCTGCGTAACTAGGAAGAAAAGAAAAAAAAAAAAAAAAGAAAGAATTTTAGAGAAATAAATTGAAATTTTAACTTCCTGTAAAAAAAAAAAAAAAAAAAAAAAAAAAAAAAAAAAAAAAAAAAACAGTAACAATCAAAAACTGAGCATGACTGAAACAGAATATTTTGATTTGGTATTTGATTATAACTGGGTTAACCGAATAAGTATAATTTAATGTAAATAATCAATTTTTTTATTATACATACCTTCAATAAAATTGTTATTATACATCAAACAATACTATATTACTCTTCTAAAAAAAAAACTATATTACTACTAAAAGATAATTTAAAACTGTATTATTAAAAATAATAATATGCAACAAAAATTATATTTTATATATTAATTAATAAATAAATGTAATTATTTCAGTTATATTGATTACTATTTTGAAGTAATTGAATTGATAATTGAAAACCAATTTTCTTTTTTGCATACTGATAATCACATCAAACTGAAAACTCAATTTATTTGTAACAAAATAATCAATTTTTACCAATTTAATTTGAGTTTAAGGCCGCTTTTTCCTGTAGGCCATATTTCGCAATACTAATTGTTCTAGAAATTGTTAATTGTTATAAGAGTTGTAAAATGTTTTATTGGCTATTAGCTAGGAGTAGGGTTTCATACATTTCTAAACCTTTAAATACTCGTATAAATGTTACATAATTGAATAATATATATTTTTATATTATATATAAATGTGGGAATATGAGAGATAATGAAATTTCTGATATTACTCTTAATGAAATTTAAAATATCATAAAAAATCCTTAGTGATGGCCAATTAAAAAATTATAGTTTATTAGTTGATTAGATATAATTTATAAAATTATTTTTTAAATAAATACAATATAATTTTATAAAATTATTTTTTCTAGAATAACAATACATTATAGATTAATAAGGCCATTTTGTTATTAAAAAATAATAGACCAAATTCAGGGAGAATAAAGCAGGGAAACAAAATAGATTAGCAACTAACAGTGAGCAGTAACCAGGAGGTGTTAATTATTTATTTATAAAAAGACAATACTATATAGGTTTACATTTAAGTATTCTCCTAACTAGAATCCCTAACTTACCAAAATCAAGGGAAAATAGAGGTTTCCGCAATACATAAAAGAATACAGACTTATGGCCAATTAAAAAATTATAGTTTATTAGTTGATTAGATATAATTTATAAAATTATTTTTTAAATAAATACATATAGATAATTAAGCATTTTGTTATAAAATAATAGACAAATAGGGAGAATAAAGAGAAAAAATAGATAGCAAAAAGTGAGAGTACAGAGTGTAATTATTATTGATAAAAAGACACATATATATAGTTACATAAGTTTCTCCTAATAGAATCCTATACAAATCAGGAAAATAGAGTTCGCAATAATAAAGAATACAGACTTTTAGCCTGTATAGGATATCCACTTATTTCATAACGCTCCTCCTTGGATGTCCATTCTTTAAAGAATATGCCTTGTTAAAACTTTACTAAGAAAAAACCATGTGGGAAAAAAATCTTAGTGAAGGAAAAAAGAGTACATTATTATTTTCTTAAATATGCGTTGAAATACTGTCTCATAAAAAATCTTTACCAGGAAAACTCAGTGGAAAAAAAAATCTCGGTTAAAGGAAAAAGAGTACAGTGTATATGTACACCCCCTAATAAGATAAAATCTTGAGATCTTTGAGTTTATACATTCCAATTTTTGTGCAGTAATACTTCAAAACTTATGGTAAAGCTTGTAATAGAAAACTCGTAGTAGAAATTATTTGATGAACAAATCAACAATATCATCGTTTAAGTGATTAACTCCAATATCACAATTATATATGTAATATTGTAGGAATTTCTCTCTATGCATTCCAATTTTTGTGCAGTAATCCTTCAAAACTTATGGTAGAAAGTTTGTAACAGAAAACTTGTAGTAAAAACTATTTGATGAACAAATCAACAACATCATCGTTTGAGTGATTGAAATTCAATATCACAGTTCTCCATATAATATTGTAGGAATTTCTCTCTGGAAAAGTAAACTGCACGTACTTTGAATAAACACATTCTTGTCTTTCTTCATTATTGCTAAAATTTCTTTATGGTTAAAATAAGCGATAGCAATACTTCGTTTCTTGAATGCCATAAAATAATTATACCTCCACATATGAATGAACGACTTGTTTATGATCTAACATAATGCGGATTAGACAAGTAACCTGCATTTTCATGGCCAGTCAAAACTGATTTTGACATGTTAGTTATAATATAACTCATATATATCATGTCATGGAGATGTCAAAATATATGTTTAACTCCATTTAATTTTTTCATATCCAGGAAGAACTATATCTTGCTGATAAAATTTATAAAAATCAAGTCAAATATGAGTAGCAAGATATATTAGCACCTTTATTGCATTAAAATATGATACTTTAGGACCAAGAGTTCTTCATAATTTTTTCAAAGTGAAAAATGGTCATCTCCTCATCAAGTAACCTCACTATTATTCATATAAAATCATTTGAATAACTTAGTCATATATGTGGATTCATAGGCAAAATTTCATTTATGAAATGCTCGATCTTCAGGTCTGAGATAAAATTTTATATTTTCAATGTCTTACATTTCAAACTCTTCCCTTAAGAAATTTATAATCTTTCTTTAGAAGTTCCAATAATATTCATAAACCAAATCATGACATATTTATATTCAAATATCTCTATAAAAATTCATGAACTTATTAAAATATCCTTTCAACAGATATTCACTAATCAAGAGATCACATTACTCGTGATGGTATATAAAGCAAATATCAAAATGATGCTTTCAATAATAAAATATTATAAAAAAGAATATAAGCATAAAATAATATAATATTTTCTTAGCCATAAACATCATTAAGGTAATTATACCATATGTGTTGAAATTTCTTTAATACATATGGAAATCTTGAATATATTTCTCGGGCTCTCGATTTGCTTACTTAAGCATTTTTCCAATATTTCATAGATATCATTATCCAATAATCTATATAGAGCTCTAAATAATTTGATTGAATAAATTTCTCAAGAATTTAACTTTAAGGTTCAAGCAATTAAATTCCTTCAAGGATTTTCATATAGATATCTACATCAAGTTAGCATCTAAGTAAGCAGCATTAAACACATTTATAATTTTCATAGATTGTCAGACTAATCAAATATCGAATTATAATTTTATCCGCCATGTGAGGGTATTTATCCTCATAATCAATGCCAGTTCTTTGTGAAAAAATATGTGTAATACGTTTACTTTATCTCTCACGACCCCATTTCAATTTCGCACAAATACATAATCTCCTCACGACCCCATTTTTCAATTTCGCACCAAAGTACCATATTTTGTATTCCTTATTGAACCTTGACATCGCTTGATGCCCCATATCTTCAATTTTTTTTTTAAAAAAATTTCACTTTCCAAGTAAAGTTTTAAATGCCACATGTGTCATTCTATTTTGCCAATCTAATTCCTATGTTCTAGAGAGAGTCTTTTTCTCATATTCAATTTTGTCTCTGCCAATTATTGCCCCACAGGATTTTATAAATGATTATATACTAAATATCATTTTTTGGAGGCATAAATAAAACAGCAACAACAGGGTTGCCCTTAAATTTAATTAATAGATAGGAATCATTAAAGGGCGACCGTTCGTAATTCCACCATTCATGTCTCCAACGTTAAATTGTTTGAAATAGCATAATTTGGAAATTTATTTCTTAATCAAATTATCTTGCGGCAAAGAATCCATGCCAAACTTCAGGGTTCTTGCATGGTTGACCAATAAATATGTTTGGTAAAATTTCCAGGTTTGCAAGTTAATAATAAGTTAAATATAATTATCTTCTGGATGCATCCCATAACTATTATCCAAATTAAAATTGATCAATAAGTTTCCCCTTTATTATAATCCAAAAATTTACAAATTAGTTTCAATTTAAAAACTTCTTGGTAACGCCTAATTAATTTTAATTTCATAATCAATGCCAGTTCTTTGTGAAAAAATATGTGTAATACGTTTACTTTATCTCTCACGACCCCATTTCAATTTCGCACAAATACATATTTGTATTCTATTGACTTGACATCTCTTGATGCCATATTCAATTTTTAAAATTTACTTTTCAAGTAAATTTAAATGCCACATGTGTCATTCTATTTTGGCCAATCAATTCTATGTCTAGAGAGATTTGTTCTCATAATAATTGTCTTGCAATTAATTGCAATGATTTATAAATGATTATACTAAATCATTTTTGAGCATAAATAAAAGCAACAACAGGTTGCCTTAAATTAATTAATAGATAGGAATCATTAAAGGGCGACGTGTAAATCCACCATCATTCTCAAGTTAAATTGTTTTAATAGCATAATTTGGAAATTGTATTCTTAATCAAATTATTTGCGCAAATAATCATGCAAACTTCAGGTTGCATGTTGACAATAATATTTGTAAATTTCAGGTTGCAAGTTAATAATAATTATATAATTATCTTTTGGATGCATCCATAATATATCCAAATA